CATTTTAATCTGAGCAGTATAACTTAATCACTATAAGTATAAGAAAGTTTTAAAATTCTACCTTTGACCAATTTTCTTCCATCACAGATTTCGTACTCCATCATGCATTTTCTGAAGAATTTGGCCTGTGGACATTGCGCCACCTTCTCTGAATTTCTACCACGAAAATCACACTTCATAACGGCATCCTAGCTGAACACGCTCATGCAGGTTAAGTCGTTGGGCCTTTCTGAAAGAAAAACAGAAATTACCTTTGAAATTCTACCACTTTTTGCATCACAATACATTCTGTTTCATGCAAACGTGGTGATATTAACAAAGGTTATTAATTGCAGTAGGGAGTTTCTTTCATCCTGTATATACATACATACACACACACACACACACACACACACACACACATATATATATATATATATATATATATATATATATATATATATATATATACAAATATAGATTACTATACCGTTTCGAAAAAACCCTCTAATTTTTTATTTGCCAATAATCAAATCAATCTCGAGGGAAAAAATGTTTTTTAAAAAAGAAAGAGCTAGAAACATGAAAGTCTGTCGAAAAAAATCGCACAGATACAGGTTCAAATTCCAAAGAAAAAACCCCGACACGAGTAAACAACTAACTAAAAAGAGCTCAATACAACCGTAGAGCAGACCTAGATAAACCTAGTGAGCCAGACAAACCTACCCAGGTTTCACCTAAGCTGATCGTCAGAGAAAGCCGACTTTCCTGACGATCCGTTTAGGTGAAACCTGTGTAGTTTGTCTGGCTACTAGGTATATATATATATATATATATATATATATATATATATATATATATACATATATATATATATAGTGTATTTAAGCAGTAATCTTTCATTTATACATGTTTCATTAAAGACGACAGAAAAGAACTACGATTAGGCTTTTATTTAATTTTTCTTGTTTGAACAAGTGTTTACCTTTTTAGTCACAGAATGAGTAGAAACCGTCTAAATGTTCTATTATTCCGTGCGCTACCACCAAAGGCGGTAAGCTAACGAAAACTACGGATTTAGACCTTGATATCAACAACAAGATTAAGGAAGTAGCCCAAGATAGTACATGTAAATACTTAGGAATTAATGAAGGAGACAGAATACAACATTCAACTATGAAGAAAAAGATCTGAAAAGAATATTATATAAGAATTCATTTGATACTAGAAAGCGAACTTAATGCGGTCAATAAAATGAAGGCTTATAACACCTTAGCTATACCCGTAGTTCCATACAGTTTTAATATTATTAAATGGAAGTTGAATGACATTAAAAGATTGGACGTCAAGACAAGAAAAACGTTTACCCAGTTGAGGATGCACCACCTGAATTGAGATGTTGATAGGTTGTACGTACCAAAAGCTTTAAGAGGTTTTGTTTGTTATATTTTACGTCCGACACCAAGGCCTCTGATCAGGAGTCTTTAAGGAGCGTGGAACCAACTCTTATTTGCTGGTGCTCCCAGGTCCGCCCTGACCTGGGGTGGTAGCACCTGTTAGGGTCCCAGCTATGGGCAAATAGTTAACACCGAAACTGAGACTACATCCGCGTCCTGAGTATGACTATAAACGACATCCACGTCCACAGTAAGACGATAAACTACGTCCAGCAGCAAGGCCTCTGACCAGGAGGTTTTGAGGAGTGTGGAAGCACCTCTTAATTATTGGTGTTCCTTTTTCTTTTACAACCTTATATAAGTCCGATTCAAAATATTATTTTAATTCAAGCGAAGACACCGAGAATCAGTCGACATGAAAAATTGAACAGACTCTTCTGGCAAAACAAGATCTTCAAATATTAGCGAAAATATTAAGGTAGAGTTCGGAATCGACAAATGTGCCAAAGCCACCTTCAAAGGCGGTAAGCTAACGAAAACTACGGATAATAGACCTTGATATCAACAACAAGATTAAGGAAGTAGCTTAAGTTGGTACATATAAATACTTAGGAATTAATGAAGAAGACAGAATACAGCATTCAATTAAGAAGAAAAAGATATGAAAATAATATTATACAAGAGTGTGTTTGATACTAGAAAGCGAACTGAATGGGGTCAATAAAATGTAGGCTATCGACACGTTAGCTATAGCCGTAGTTACATACAACTTCAACAATATTAAATGGAAGTTGAATGAAGATTGGACGACAAGATCAGAAATTTTTTTACTCAAATGAGAATGCACCACTAGAAATCAGATCTTGCTAGGTTGCAAGTACCAATAGCTTTAGAGGTCGAGGTCTAATCCAATTTGAACTAACTATAAAAATTGTAAGAATTGGATTGGAAGCAGACCTCACAAGAACCAACGACCCTCTTAGTAAAGACAACTAATCCACTGCATCAACAAGGAGGTTCATTCTTCAAGAAACAGCTTAATATGCCTGAAATCCTACCAACAAAAAACGAAGCGAATACCATCTACACCAAACGACTAAAACAGAAAGCAAAAACAACATGGC